TGATATCAATATAAATAAAAACGGCCCCCATAGTTCTTGCATGAAGCTAACCAAATTTATACCTATTCCTTCCTTTTCTTGGAATAACCATAGCTTCCACTATATAAAGTAGAATCACCTGACACCAACATCTATATGGCATGAACTGTATATAATGTTAATTAATAAACATTAAAATAATTATTCTAAAATTTTAATCAATCAATTTTTAATTTAACGAAAGTGGTATATTAGAAGCTACTGCAAATCATTTTTGTAATTGATAATTCATTGATTTAAGAAACTTTAACAGAACAGAAGAGATTTACACCATAAACTTGATTCAAAGATAAAGAGTTTAGAATTTCTTCGGGAAGATTTGATGACATAATCCAAGTCGTGTATAAATGGTATAATCGTACGTACGTATACTGAAATGAAATCTACATTTAGCAATTTTTAGGAAGTTATGATAACGACACAATATTTACTTTATAATGAATTTGATTATCATCTGTATTAACGATTTTATAATATTAAACAAAATGAAATAAATTCAAAATAAATTGGTAATAAAAAATTATGGCAATATAAGCCAATTTTTTTAATTATGATCAAAAGTTTAAATTTATTTTGGAATAACTATAACTTTGTGTTGACATTCGGTCATTTTGCCGGAGCAAAAAAAAATCTTTGGCTGCGGTCAAATACCATCTAATATTATATGCCAACCCTGTTTATGTTTATAAGTGTTGGCCGAATTTCATAACGCTTAATAATTACAAATGTCAAATATGCTTTCAATGAATTTCTTAGTTCATATAATTTATTTATGCTACGCAAACACTGATTTTGATATACGTAGGTTAGCGTTGTTTGTATCCTTTCAATCAACATTTCTTTGTTTGAATCTAATTATACATGATTATCATCTTTTTTTTAAAATCTATTATCGAACTTCTCATAATAATATTATTATTATTCAAATTGCCAATCATTGAAGGATTTATTTTCTTTTTTACACTTGTAATACTTTGATCATGTTACTTTGATAGAAATCCCCTGCCATGAAAAGAAACTCGGTGTTAACCGAATTTAAACAGAAATCAGGTTAATCAAACAACGATTAAATCTAACTAAGGCCCGTCCTAAGAAAGTTTTATACAACCTTTTACTTTATACGGTTATTAGTCAGTTTATATAGAGTAGAGACACGATAAAGTTTGAAAGTGTATCATGGAATTTTATTAACTCAAAGATTTCGGACGTCTCTTCTCAAGACTCGTCAACCTTCTTCTTTGAACAAAGCGGATATTCGGGGTTTATATACAAAATTTCTAAATACTAATTTAAAAATATATAATAAACATATCAAACATAATAACGAATATATCAAAAATAATAATTTAATAATTATATATATAAAACAAATATAAAAACGAAAACTAGTATAATTATTTTAACACATATAATTGATATAAATGACATTTTTGACATTATCGACATTTCAATATTTTTACGCAGCTACTGCGCCATTCATGAATGCCGATCTCTTGTAACACCGGTGTATTCTGTCTGGTACGGCTTTCTGAACGTTTCCGATATATATAACAACTTTCTTCGGAAACTTCGAAAGTTATCCACCAAAATAATCTTTAATTATAAAAAAAATATTTATATAAATTATGAAGAATAGAAAAATACCACACAACATTTTCAAAGTTATTTATATTAAAATTTAATTTTAGATAAATAAGTATAAATGTATCAAAAAAAAAGAATAAAAATTAATTGAAATAAAAAAATAATACCTAGGAAATCTCAAAGTTAAAGTTTTAATTTAAACACATTATAATTTTTGATTCTTGCTTTAACAATTCTAGAATGGAATTTTTAAAACTACTTTGTCATTTTTATTTAGTGACGCAGCATTATCGCGGACTTAATTTTTTTTTTAAAATTTCAAAATTTTTAATTTATAGATAATTAAAATAAAATGTTGATTTTGTTAATTTAATACAAAGCTTTTTTTACATTTAAAACATGGTTGTTCAGTCTCAAGTCAATGGGTCAACCGGTCGGTCACGGTTATGATATGACCTGTTATGACAAGACATGATCGTGAACATTAACATCCCTAGCATTAACCGTAATAAGAATATTAACTTCCACTTATGGACTTTTAAAAACATTTGGTAATAAGCTATCTGAGGATGTTAAACCTTTAAATAAACAGCGTTCAAATCTTAATTTAAAACAATCAAGGAGCGAAAGTTGCGCAGAATCGAATTATGCAATCGAGATACCGAAAATACAAATTTTACGTAAAAATTCAACAAGGTTTCTCTTAAACAAATTCTACCTTCGACGTCCATTCTTCCATTATAATAAGAAATGAATTCAACATTTAACGATCGAAAAGAATACATTAGAATGTTGGAACAAACTTTCGATTATATACACATTTATTTCGAACCTTACTTTTTTAATTTGTAATATAAATTATATTATAAATTATATTTTGTATAATTTTAAATTTATTATGATAATAATAATTAATATTATTAAATTATGAATACCAAAATATTTCGCTCGCGAGTTATGGATTTGGCTTGAGTTAAATATTCTGGCTTCGTCCCCATTAGTAATAGTAATCGAACACCGGGGAATTCGATAAAAAAAAAAAAGAAGCTAACTTCAGGATTTATCTTAAATCAATTCTACAAAAGATTAATTTAAATAAATAATGTAAAAAAGAAAAACTATAATTTTTTATGAAACACAAATCGAACTTTTATTCTAATCCTTTTTGTGAATATTTCCTAACCTAAATCTAGTTAGATCGAGATAAAAGAGAGGCGTCGATCACAAAGCGGGTTGATTTTCTTCTTGCGTCAATTTTGCTTTTTATTTTCAGGTTTGGGTTACAATTAATTAAACTTTATTTCAATTTAGGAAATAATGTTCATTAATATAATTTCAAAATAGTGCTAAAACAAGAAGGTAAACTATTTGATCGTCTCAGTAATGATTTTTTAAATTTTCGAAATGATCGTTAACAATAAAAATTCTCTTTCTTTTAAATTTACTATGGAAGATTTTTTAATTCATCAAAATTTCATGTTAAAACTTTATTACTGTGAAATTATTTCAAAGGAAACAAAATGGCATATCAACAAAATTTGGTACCAAACATGATGAAAAAGTACTGATTGGAATACGATTTTTTTTTTTACTTTTTTCCTTATAAAAGGGCAATGATTTTTAAGAATCCAAGCTTATTTATAACTAACATTCACCAAAAAAAAAACTCAACAAACTCAACTTTACAAAGAAATCATAATCATGAACCGAAAATTTATATTTGCATTCCTCTTATTGTTCACGCTTTCCATGGTCAATGCAATTCCTCATAAACTTCTTAAAAGATCTGGCTATTATTCATGTCCACAAGACCTTTTCTTACTCCGTGGATCATTTACAATGAGTGATCAAAAGTATACTGCTACTGTTACCGGAACATTGAAGAATGACGTTACCGAACAAACCAAACTTGTGGTTGCATTTGGTGATTCAAATGGAGCTGCCTTAGCAGACCCCATTGTTTTTGATGCTTGTACTGGAAGTGGATGTCCAATTAAAGCTGGTGATGCAATTAATCAACAGGTGGAATTTCAAGCACCAGGCAAATTACCTAAACCGTACAATATGGTATTTAGTATGGCAAATTCAGAAAGTGATATTCTAGGCTGTTTTTATTTTCCATTTAAATAATTAAATTGATTTTAATATTTGATTTTGATAAATCTTGAAACGAAAGAGAAATGTATTTATATCTAACACTACACATTTAAACAAGTTACAGCAGTTTTTCTCTTTTTAATGATTTATTTCGTGTTAGGCTTATAAAGAAATTGTTTGAATATTCATATTATCGTTCTCATTCTTATATATTATTATAATTTTGGCAAAAAATTCATAGTAAATTTAATTATTCAACAAAGAATATATAATTTTATTTATTATTATTTTTTTTTTCTTATTTCTTCAAACATTTTCACGTCTATATTCAAAAAATTTATACAATAAAATATTTTTCCACCGCAGAAAGATCAGAACTGAAGCTGAAATTGAATTCATTTTTTTTTAATAATATAATAAAATATTTTAATACGTGATTTAAAAAGTCATTTTTAAGTTGCCTTTTTTTTTTGGAAAACTTAACTTACCCATAAGAGGTAGGGGTAAAATAAATCCTTACACTGATTGGCTATATTTTTTTTTTTTAAAAAACTTTAATCCCTTTTTATGTATAAAATTTAACGAAAATCAAACTTGAAAATAAATGGAAGCGAACAATTCTGGGTTGAATAGAAATACTATTTAGGCTCATTATTTTCTACTTTTTACGTTGATTGAACTACCCTACCAACAAATTTTTGAAAATATTATCCTAACCTAAATTGGTTAGTCGTTCATTTTTCTTAGAAATGTCGATCAGATGATCGGCAACGATTGAACGATTTTAAATCTTTCTCCCCTTTTCTTTGAATTCATAAAAATAAATGGACACTAGAATTAATAAAGGGCACCCGTTGTATTTGTTTCTTATAAAGCAATTAGATTGATACTAAATGTTAATAAATACTTTTATCACCTCAGATACTGACCGTGAACATTCAAATTCCAATAGTTAACTTTCACATCTAGATGAGATTTGAAGATTCTGTAAATATGATTCTAGAAGAATTATAATTGTACTTAACGAAAAAGTTTTGGATAAAGTTACTATTTACAAGGAAAGAAAAAAAATGTACTTTACAATTTTCCAGTTTGAATTTATATTATCTTTAGAAACCCTACTAATAATGACAGCGCTCCATGAAAATGAATATAAAAAAAGAAGATATAGAAAATACAATATATAAATTGTCTACTATTTAATAACAAAAACATTACAAACATTAATTGAGATATATTGCGAAGTTAATGAAGAGGATTTCATAGAATTCTTGACGTATATCACGGGATTGACTTCTGGTTTATATACGATCAATATTTCGAATGAAAGAATTATTATTTTTTTTAAAGCTAATTCTTTCAGATTGTGTCGCTTCGGTAGTATTTATGTATAATATTTATTTTTTACTTTCAATTCGAATTTTTGTTGGGCCGTAGCCATAAAATATTTTTATTTTTCGACTAATATTAATGATCGTTGAGTCACCACGCAGCCTCATAATTTAAAGTAAAATTTGCTGGCTCGGACCAGACAACCAGGGTTCGGTTAAAATTTAAAATTATTATTTATAACGTTGTAGTTATTAAATTTTAGATTTATAGCAAATTTAATAATTGCTACTCTATTACATTATGTTTATATAAATACATAATAAGAAAATAGTAAAAAACCTATAATATGATAATTTTAATTATTGATTAAACTTCTTTGTCTTTAAAATAATCTAAATAAATAACAAAATTTCAACATCGTAAAAAATTATCATGTCTAAAAATTAAAATTATAATGATTATTTTAAAAATAATTTAATAAAGTTAATTAATTTTATCTTCAGGGAATTTTCAAATCATCTTGATCTTCTGAATGAAGATTATATATTTCTTCATTATCTAATCGAGATTTAAATAATTTAAATTTTAAATTCGGTAACAAAGTTATTAGATTTATCAATTTATTATCATCATCATCACTCGCCATATAACTTCTTTGCATATAATGCGTCACAATTTCATCATTTGTATGATTAATTCCTAAATAAACATTTAAAAGTTATAAGATATTAACTTTATCGATTTCTATTTTATTTTATTTTATTTATTTTTATTTTTACTTTTATTTATATATACTATTCAACAATTGATTCTTTCCTTTTTTTTTTTCATTATTCATCGATTTTTTATTTATTTTAATAAATATTAAATTAAAAAAATAAATAATCGATCGATAAGATGATTGATAATCGAAATGATGATTTTCGAATATTAAATATTCGAATATTAATTATTTATTTACAAATAAATAACAAACAAATAATTCGAATATTCAATTTTCAAGAACGACAGTTCCGCGATCGACAGTTCCGCGATCGGCAGTTCCGCGATCGATAGTTCCGAGATCGACTGTTACAATTAATTCTTGAAAAGTTCAAAATAAATTAGAAAAAATCAAATGGAGAATTACGATACGAAAATCTTAAAATTAAAGGAGTTTGACAACATTTTCTTAATTGTTGAATGAAAGAATTGGATAAGAAATGGTTTAAAGGCAATTGGTCTCCCTGGTATCTTGTAACTTTTGCCGAGGGTTATAAACAAGGTCTTCGAGTTTTCGACAAGGAAATAAAAATTATTTCAAAATTATTTTACTATGAAGAAAGGTTTATTATACATTCTTATAAATCTTTCATCAGTTATTGCTGATTAGATCACCGTAGAACATGATTTTAAGATGTGCGACCAAGCCGTACCTTCTAATCTTGCCGCATTCCATATAGACGATGATGGCATTAAATATTCGACATCTCTTTTGGTCAGGGAACTTCAAACTATAAGTCATGAGCCACCATTAACAATTGTAAACGTCACTATGTGGGGATGTACTTATGATTGCAACTTTAGCTTTATGGTGAAAATAAACGGGAAAGTTCGTCGTATACTTTAAACGGATTGGACTCAATGTCTGAAAAATCGCGTAAACCTGGAGTGGATTTTTCTATTGAGGAGAAGGGTTAATTACCTTTAAATTCAAACGACATTGTAGAAGACCACAATAGAAATGTAGCTACTTACTTTATACCACGATTAACTCTAGAAAGATCATTGTCTATTAATTATCGCACTTTGTAAGTCATACACTTCAATGATTGATGCTAATTTCGATCATTAACCATTTTTCGTTATCTGCAGATCCATTCAGACTTCGGATAGTATCCAAGCTCGAAAATACCAAATAAAGAAAGAAAAAAAGGTGGCCACCATTTCTCCAGATGGTATCCTCTATTTCATATTCAGATTACACAATATTTCATATAACTTACTTTTTTCCTCTTTTCACAATAGATGATATCGCACAACTTAATTATCACACCCTTCCGGTCAATTTGATCTGGGAACGGTTCGAATGCAATAAAAACCTGGGTCTAAACTCTCAAACGGCCGCTCACCATCTTCAACGCAATGGTAAAAATGTAATCTCACCGCCTAAAAACAATATAATTTATAAAATCCTCGGCTATTTTCTCGGTGGATTCTGTAGTTTGATTTGGTTTGCGGCCATTATCATGATCTTGTTGTATAAACCATTAGGCGAGCCAAACCCATCTCTAATAAACCTTGCTTTGGGAATCGTTCTAGTAAGAATTCGAATTTTTATTCTCGTTCACTCGAAAAAAAAAGTGTTGATTTCTAAATAATCGTTTTATTGTGTTAAGATAATCGCTGTAGTGATTCTGACTGTATTTGCTGTGTATCAGGATTGGTCAACATCAAGGGTGATGAAGTCAATTAAAAATATTCTGCATTCTGAAACGCTTGTTATTCGTGATGGTCAAGTCCAAAAAATACCTGCAACTGGTAATGTTAATTTTCACAATTCTAAAGTGTTTTCCCCTCGTCTCAATAATAAACCTTCTTATTTCCGAAAAAACTTCAGATCTAGTCGTCGGAGACCTTGTTCAAATAAACATGGGTAGCAAGGTTCCGTCGGATTTGCGTCTAGTGGAAGTGACAAGTGATATGAAATTCGATCGATCAATATTGACTGGAGAGAATGCACCAGTTACCGCCACTGTGGAAGCCACGGATGACAACTATTTTGAAACACAAAACATTGCTTTGCTTGGCATTCATTGAACTAATGGAAGTGGAAAAGGTGTCGTCGTTGCCACCGGTAATGTTTCAGTAATTTATCTTCTTCTGCTTAACTTTGACATTTTTTTTTTGATGACTTTTAATTTTAATTTTAGGCGACAAGACCGTGTTTGGCAAGATTGCAAAGTTATCAACTGCTACTGATTCGGAGCCTACGATTCTTCAGAATAAAATACTGTAAAAATAACGACGTGTAAATAGGACACGGACGTTCTTTGATTTTATTTTTTTGAAAAAATACGTCGTGATCGTTAAATACCTACCTAAATATCGATCCTAAGAATGAAGTAAAACTATTCTATGTAATGCTTAAAATATATTTTAAAAAAAAAAAAAAAATTTTTTTTTTTTTTTTATTTTATTTTATTTTGGCATTAGTTTACTCGAACCCATTACTCGAGATTAATCTTTAATTTTAAATTAATATAAATCTCATCTGATTTTCAATATATCACATGATATTGCTCCAGTGTTAGCACATCACATGACATCATATATAACTTAAATCTTTAAAATGATAAATTTGAGATTTTAAAAACAAATTTATTATGCTTTGTATAACGTTACATATCTTCCAAATAAGGCAATTTATTACTTATAATTCCGGCCGGAATTAGTTAATCTATATGACTTTAGTTATATGATATATGGGAGGCGATCAGTAGAAAAGAGGGAAATCCACTTTTTAATCAAAAATTTTTTCATTGATTCACTCTGCTGATCATAATCATGTGAACAAAATTAGCTTAATAACTAAAATTACTTAAAATTTGTAAATTTTTCCCTTTTCTATTGACCGCTTCTCATATGACTATAAAGTCATAAAAATTTTCATATGGATTTATTGCTAGTAAAATTATATCCAATAAAAATTGAGATTTTATTTTATTTTAAACATGAACTTCATATGACTTAAAAATTATACTATATAATTATAATATCAAAACAAAATATAAGCTATAAGTTTTTATTATTAATTTTATTTATAGGATTAAAATATTAATGTTCTATTAAGTTATCGACTGAATTCGTGAGATTTATGATCAAAATATTAAAGATTTTATTACTACATAAATCTTTTTTTATCAATAATAATAAGTAAAAATAAAAATAAAAATAAAAAATTTTTTTATTTTTAATATTTTCTATATGTAAATTTTTATTTATTTCAATGTAATAATAAATAATCACTTTAAAATTTGCATTTATTATATTTTTTTAAAAAATTTTATTTAATCGCTATAGCAAATCTAATCAAATAAAAAAAATTTTAATTTTATTTACTTCATCTGCAACTATAAATATTATCTTTATTTAACTACTTTTACCTATACTTGTTTTATTACTTTTATCTTTTAATATCCTTCTATTTTATTTTTATTTCTTTTCTCATTTAATTTATTTTTTTTTTTTTCTTAATTCTTTTTTTTATTTATTCTTTTTTATTCATTCTTCCTCTTTCCTCTTTTATTCTTTTTATTATTAATTTTTCTTTTTTTTTATTACTTTATTTTTTTATTTTCACTCTTTTCTTTTCATTCTTATTTTTTTTTTCTTTTATATTTTCTCTTTCCTTTCATTCATTTATTTTATTTTTCTTACTTCTTTTAATTATTTTTGCTCTCTTTTTTTTATTCTTCATGCTATTTATTCTTTTTTAATATTATTCGTTTTTTTCTCTTATTTTTTATTTTATACTTTCTCTCTTCTTTAATTTATTTATTTTTCCTTATCTCTTCTACTTATTCTTTCATTTTTTCATTGATTTTCTCACTTCTTTATATCTTCATTTTTATTATTAATACCTTTTATTTATTCATTTTTTCTCTTTGTTCTCTTTTTTAATTCTATTTTTTTATTCATTTTATTTTTTTTCACTTTTTAATTCTTTTATTTCTTTCATTCAATTTCTCCTTTATATTCCTTTTTATTTATCCTTTTATATTTTTTTCTTTTATCATTCATTTATATTTTCTTCCTTTTTTCTTTAATTTCTTTTTTTTTCTTCTTTGTTTCTTACTTTATTTTTCAATTTTATTCTTTTTTTCTCATTTTTTATTCAAATTTTATTTATTTTAATTTAAAATATTTTTTAAAAAAATTAATAAACTAATATTTATTAGATTTAGAAAATAAACATCTTTAAATATTTTATTAATGTATTTACAAATCTTAATAGTTAATAGTGAAATTAAAATTATATTTATTTTACTATTTTTATTAAAATTATTATTATGAAGAAGGATAAAATATTTTTACTCCTTTAAATTCCTTTAAAATATACACTTTATTAATATCAATAAGTAAATTATTAAATTAAAAATAATAGTATTTTTTTTATATTAGAAAGTAAAATAAAGTAATTTTAAAAAAAAAACCTTTAAAATTATATTAAACCCATTTATTATTATAATAAATTACTTCATTTCCTTTAGATAAATAATTTATAACTTTCTATATCATTATTATATTAATTCTTATTTTTCTACATACCTTTTAATATGTCTAAAAATATATCACAAATAAATTTTATATATTTGAAATCATAAAATTTACAATAATATCTTTATAACATAATTAAGCATATTTAAAATTATAAAGAAAGGTTATTTTTATTTATACTGCACAATTATTATAAGTAATTCTTAAATATTTTTCCTATATACATAAATTTTGAAATGCATTATATACTATATTTTAAATTATGTTAACACTTTTTGCAGTCTCTTTAGGAAACTCATCTTCTGTAATTAAATAATTTAATTAATAATTTTAATCATATTATATTAAAAATTTTTTATTAAGTATGAAACTTATATAACAATATAAATATATAATAATAGTATTAGTATATAAATAGTATTTTTATGTATATATTCCATTAATTCATTTTTTTGCAAATATTTTTAAATATTATTAAATAATATTTAGTTTTTTCAATTAATTTTAAAAATATTAGTTTACAAAAAAGTAGAGAATTATTAAAATTTTATTTATATGTTATTCTTAAGGGATTTTCAGTTTTTTGTTAATCATTTTAAATAATATTAATTGTACTTTTAAAAATAATTCAAATTAAATTTAATAAATAAATTTTGATGTTTTTTTTAAAAATTTTTTTAAATTTAATTATTTATTAATAAATTTATAAATTCTTTTATTTTTTAAATTTTATTAATAATTATAATTATTTTACAAAAAGATGGATTGTATCATAACTATTTTAAAAATTAATTTCAATATATTTTATTTAATTTAAAGCTAATTAAATTGTATTATGATCATAAAATAATTTCTATTATTAAAAATGAACTTTTTAATAAATTATATAAATAAGTTAGAAATTTTAAATACTTTTTGAAAGGGTTAATTTTTTTATATTTTAATTTATATATTTAATAATAAGTTTAGTTCATTTAAATAAAATATTTTATTTGGTAAATTAAAAATTATATACATTATATATATACTCTTATGCAAAAAGTTTAGGATCACTTCTAAGATTACAATAAGCAATATATAAATTGCAATAATTATTTATTTATGTAATTTAAAATAAATTATTTATGACATATTGATAGTGATAATTGTTACAAGTATTTCATAAAGTTAGATCTGATCTGATTTTTATTTTTTTAGATCAAAATCTGATCTAAATTTGATGGATCTATTAAAATTCAGATCTAATTTGAATCTGATAGATCAAATTTCAAATCTATATCTAATAAATCAGTTTAATCTAATCTAAATCTGAAAAGTTGTTTCTTTTCAATAAAAAAAATCTTTTTAGTATTAAAAGATGTCTAAAAAGTTGTTTTTTTTAATGAAAAAATCTTTTCAATTCTAAAAGAAATCTGAAAATTCATTACTTTTCAATGAAAAGAACTTTTCAGCTCTAAAAGAAATCCGAAAATTCATTTCTTTTTAATAAAAAAAAACAAATTTTAGCTTTAAAAATGATTAAAAATATATTTCTTTTTAAGGAAAAAAACTTTTTAACTCTAAATAATATCTGAAAATTTGTTCCTTTTAAATAAAAAAAAATAAATTTTCAGTTCAAGAGATCTAAAAATTTGTTACTTTTCAATGAAAGGAATTTTTGGCTCTAAAAGTGAACTGAAAATTTGTTTCTTTATAATAAAAGAAAACAAATTTTTGGCTCTAAAAAAATCTGAAAATTTGTTCTTTTTAATAAAAGAAACTTTTTAGTTTTAAAAAGTTAAATTCAGATCTGACAAATCAGATTTGAATTCAATCTAAATCTAATGGATCAGATCTAAATCTAAATCTAACAGATTAGATCTGATCTGTATTTAAATCTGAATCATGCAGAATATTAATTATCGCATAAATTTTCTTTTTTTCTTTATATTTATTTTTTATATTTTTATAAAAATGGTTTAAAAATATTAACAGATTTTAAACATTAAAACTAGCAAAAATTAACAGACCTGTTAAATATGATATATATGCTAAATATATCATATCTCTAAATAAGACACATATATTATTTTTAGTATATTTATTATTATTATTATTTATTTTATATTTAACATAATTAGCATATCTGTTGCTTAGTATCATTACTACCATAGATTTTCTTTAATTGTAATTTTCTTATATAAAGAATATGAAAATACCTTAAGAAAAAAACAGATCCTAATATTGTATTCAATATACATTTAATAACAATAATAAACATTAATATTTTGCAAACATAAAACTTATAATTTTATTCTTATTAACTAAATGAACTCCCTAATTAATATCATGTCAAGTTGATTAAATTTAAGTTATAGCGATTGTCTTTCTGACTTTAAATTATAGTTAATTTATTTGATGGATAGAATAAAATTAACAAGTAATGATTCCTACTAGAATAATATTGACTTTATATATAACAGACTACTAACAAATTTAGTGAGATTTATAAAGTTTGAAAAGAATTGAGAAATAGAGATAACTTCATACGTAACGAACTGCTAAAAAATAGTAAGATATATAAATTTTGAAGTAATTGAGAGAAACATAGTAGAACATATTATTAGATATTATTTAAATTCTCTTCTTAATAAAGATTATACTTGTAATTAGTATTATTTATTCCTTCCATTTGATACACTTATAACAAAATTTCAAACTTTTGTGAATTAGTTTCATTATGAATATCAAGCAGAAACTTATACAGTAAGATCAATTGTTAAATTTATTATAATTGAATCATTGTAAGCTGAAATAGCTTTAAAAGCTGGTAAGATATTAAATATATTTAAAATCAATTTTAGAAAAAGTATTTATAAGCAAATTTTAAATTAATTTTCTGGTAATGCCAAAGTTTTATTACTTATAAGAAATAAAAAAATTGCCTATTATTATACAAAAATATGAAATTATTTATAAAGTTTTAAAATATAAAATTTCTATTTTAATTTAACTACTGTATAGTTTCAAAATTAAGCAACCATTTTTTACTATAGAGTTGTTTAATTTTAGATACTTTTTTGAAATAAAAATCTAAAAGAACACTTAAATAATTACATGTCATAAATATCGTAAACATCATAAATACATCTGTATTATATAATGCAATATTTTAATATCATACATTACAATCAGTTAAGTATTTTAAAATCATACAATCTTTTTCAAAACTTATTTCAAATCTGCTTAAAATTCTTCATATAATATATCGCCATAATATTATCATAAAAAAGGAGAAAGCAAAAAAAAGATGTTAGTAAAAAAGTTATCAGCAATAAAACTATTAAACAATATTGCAATTTATACTCTATTGAAAAAACAGATTGTTACTTATACTAAGGAAAATAGAATAATTAAAGCAGCAAACTATTTTGAATTTAGTAAAAGTATAATTAGTTGCTGGATTAAATTAAATGAAAAATAGGTAAAGAAACTAATTAAATAATAAATAAGTTAATGCAGGCCAAAAAAGTTTTTATCTAGAAGCTGAAAAAGAACTATACAATTGAATTATTAAGTAAAAAAAGCAAGATTTAGCTGTTAATTATACAATTACACAAATTAAAATGCTGAATATTTTAAATAAACCTATT